GCTGACAGGACCTGCGTGTTCCTGGTGCTGCCAGGACCTGCGTGTTCCTGGCGCTGACAGGACCTGCGTGTTCCCGGCGCTGACAGGACCTGCGTGTTCCTGGTGCTGACAGGACCTGTGTGTTCCCAGTGCTGACAGGACCTGCGTGTTCCTGGTGCTGCCAGGACCTGCATGTTCCTGGTGCTGACAGGACCTGCGTGTTCCTGGCGCTCACAGGACCTTGCATGTTCCTGGTGCTGCCAGGACCTGCGTGTTCCTGGTGCTGACAGGACCTGTGTGTTCCTGGTGCTGCCAGGACCTGCGTGTTCCTGGTGCTGCCAGGACCTGCGTGTTCCTGGCGCTGCCAGGACCTGCGTGTTCCCAGCGCTTGCCATGATCCTTGTTTTGCTGCTGTTGGTTTAAATGCAGAGCTGGGAGCCCGGGTGTGCAGAGGACAGCGTGTGCGAGCGCCCTGCGTGGGAGCCTCGCTGCGGAGGCTGCTGGTTCCCCACGTGTCACACGTGTCACACGTGTCCCACGGCCAGCGTGGCAGGCAGGGCTGTCCCCGGGCAGCGGGGACGCCTCGCAGAGCTGTGTTCTTGCAGTGAACGCAGCTGCGTTCAGAAGAGAGCGCTAATATTCGTTTGTGAATGTCTGTGGAGATTTGCATCACTGTGTGAGGAAACGGTAGGAGCAATCACTATGGTGTGGAAGTTGTGTCCTCGTATGGTGTTGAATTCTTCCGTGGTGTTGAATTCTGTTCAGAATTTGTGCCAATGGTATGATACGAGTAGGCCAGGTCCGTGTTTCTGGAAGCCACAGAAAAGGCCCTTGCAATAAAGCAGAAGGATTCACCGGTTGTGAAGCGCCCGGTCAAGGAGTCTGGGTCTGTGCCTTAGAATCCCAGAATGGTTGAGGTTGGAAGGGACCTCTGGAGATCACCTAGTCCAACCCCCCTGCTCCAGCAGGGACACCCGGAGCACGGGGCACAGGCTGCATCCAGGCGGGTTTGGAGAGAGAGTCTCCTTCCTCCAGAGAAGGAGACTCCACACCTTAGTTGCAGAGGGATTCCAGGGAGTTTATTTCAAATGGAGACGTATACACTGTAGATGCAGGGAGTGATGTGAGACAAATCCTGCCTCTACTCTGCTGTGAACAGGAGGGTGTGAAGAATGGATGCTGGATCTGTGAAATGGCTGCGTGTGTGAAACGGGGCTGGGGAAGGGAGCTGTATGTGCAGGGCTGGGCTGGCGGGAGCTGCCCCGTGAGCCTTGTCACAGCAGACACCGTGGAGCTTTTCACGTGGGGCTTATTTGCACCGTGGAGCTTTTCACGTGGAGCTTATTTGCACCGTGGAGGTTTTCAGCCAGTGTTGGGGTGTCCCATGCACACGTGGGGTGTCCCATGCACACGTGGGGTGTCCCATGCACACGTGGGGTGTCACCTGCACACGTGGGATGGTGTGGGCGGTGGTGGCGCGGGGTGCAAGGTGAGCACAGGCGCGTGTTGCTAGCACGGGACAGACCCTTCCCCGGCTGCAGTAGCGCTCCCGGGGCCGGGGGCGGCTGGGCGGCGCTCTGCTCGCGCGCAGCCGCCCTGCGCCTCGCTGCACACCCAAGGGCTGCGCTGCAGCGAGGCGGTGCGGCGGGTCAGCCCCGCGCCGGCCGGCTGGCCGAGGCACCGCGCGCCTCCCCGCACCGGGCTCTGCACGGAGCGCGAGCCCGAGCGGGGGCACCTCAACTCCGATCCGTGGTCCGTGCGGAAAGCCGGGACTGGCTGGGCCCGGCTTAACGGGACAGGGCCCTGGGGACACGGGGAATGGAAAGGGCTGGGGTGGGGATGGCTCGGAGCCCTGCTCTGCTTCCATCTCCACAACCTGGAGCCCTGGAGAAGGTCTGGAGAAAGGAGCACCTTCCCCTGGTGCAGGAGAGATCCTTTAGGCAAACGTGGCATCCACGAGCCCATGGACCCTGCTGGGAAACACCCACGAGGGTTGCGGGAGTTGGTGAGTGTCGTTGCTGGGTGACTCTGGATCATCGTTGAAAGGTCATGGAGAACAGGAGAGGTGCCTAAGGGCTGCAGGAAGGGAAATGACACTTCAAAGTGTCCTCCGAAAGGACGGGAGGGGAAACTCAGGCAAGTGCAGGCCAGTCAGCCTCTCCTCAGGCCCTGGGGAGGTGGCAGCGCACAGAATCGCAGGATGTTCAAGGTTGGAAGGGACCTCTAGAGATCATCTAGTCCAAATGAGCAGCTCATCCTCGACACTGTCCTCAGGCCTCTGAAGAACGAGGTGGTCAGGAGTGGTCAGCATGGACCCACAAAGGGGAAATCACGTTTGCCAACCTGCTATGATGGAATGAGGAGAAGGGCCCGCGGTGCTGGGGGACAGCAGGGTGTCCCCGAGGCAGTGGTGGCCCTGGTGGCCCCAAGGCCACGGTCTCCGGCGCCGCGCGGGGAAGAGCGTCCGCAGCAGCCGCAGGGAGGGATCCGGCCCCTCTGCCCGGCCCTGGGGAGGTTCCTCTTGTGCCTCCTGGGTGGCTCTGGGTGGCTCTGGGTGGCTCTGGGTGGCTCCAGATTCCTCTGGGTTCCTCTGGGTGCCTGCAGGTACCTCCTGGGTGTCTCTAGGTGCCTCCTGGGTTCCTCTGGGTTCCTCCGGGTGCCTGCTGGGTGTCTCTGGGTGTCTCTAGGTACCTCCTGGGTGTCTCCGGGTGTCTGTGGGTGCCCCTGCTGTGCTGGGGCAGCTTGAGCACTGAAGCAGCAGGGGTGAGCAGAGCCGGGCGTGCGGATACGCGGGCAGTGTTGGGGCTGGGGCTACGCGTGTTCTTGGTCAGCAGGACCCGGCTCCCTCTCCCCGCTCTGTGCTGGGCCTTCCAGGGAGCAGCTCCCAAAGGACCCGGCCTTTTCCAGCCTGTAACCAATCCTAAACCCATTGGGAGCCGGGAACGAGGGGATGTAGCCAAGTCTGCCCGGCGCCAGCGTCCCGCTCGCAGCGCTGTCCCTGCCCTGTCAATGCCTCCTCTGTGTCTCCACAAGGAAAGCCACAAAGTGCCAGGTATCCCGAGCCTAACAAAACCCGCACAGAGCTTTTTATCTAAGAAACATTGTAAAGGGACCTGCAAGGGGAGCTTGGGCTGGGCTTAGCGTGAGCACACTGGCTCTGCTGCGATGTAAAGCCAAGAGCTGGGGGAGCTTTCATGAGAGGAGACGTTGCTTGAAGCCTTGTACAGGTCTCTGGGCACATCCTCTGTGTAACCTAGGGGTGTGCTCAGCAGCTGCATTTAGATTAAAATTGCACGGGCATTTCAAATCTGTGACTCCAATTGCAGCCGTGTAACTCCCAACCTGAGCCCGGCTCCTGCTCAGATTAATCCTCCCTCTTTTAGCCTGAAAGCTGTTGTAGTTTTGGAGATTAGTCCTAGATAAACAGCCACGTGCGCAGTGCTTCCATGTGGGAATTGGCAGATCCGAGCGGAGAGGCGCATGGGGAGCGTTCCGAGCTGGACCCGGGTCCGCGGGT